TCACACCACGCTCACCTCTCGGTTGGACTCGCATGAGCTGTGAGCCCGTCAGAGTTCCACTCAGATGTGGAAGATTTCATAATTCCCACGAGACTCGGAAGAACTTCGGATCATGTCTGGAACCTCCTGTTCTCTCCAGCACTTTTCTGTTTGGTTCTGCCCTCCGAACTGAACTGCTCTCCCACCGCACTGGTTGGAACTAGGAAGTGTCGACATTTAAAGAGTTCTGTTTCCGGTTCATTTGGGAAGTCTTGATTGGCTGAAAGAGCCAACAAGGGGTGTGTTTTTGTGACGTAAGAGGTCACTAGAAGTCAGAAAAAACAGAAAAATGTTTTGGAACAGACAGAAAATGTTTTTGAGACAGACAAGAGAAATGTTTAGGCGAGTTGGGAGGAAACAGGTGCCAGCTTCTCTATTTACGTCTGAGAGGATTTAAAAACATGACAGTTCGTTCCAACAAACTTGTTTGCGTTTGTCTCCGACCTTGGACCGACTTACAACTTGCTCATTTCAGACAGAAGATCAAGAAAATGAATAATTACTCTGTAACAGACATTAACTAGATTTCTACTTTGAATGAGGATTAAAAATCATTAATACTGTTTCACAGTTGATTTAAAATGAGTAGTTCACTTCAACATTTAAAATGGTTTGAACTAAACACACTTTGATTATCAAGACATTTGTAAAATAGTAATGATAATAAAAAAGAGAGTGTTCTTTCAATTGATCAGTGCAGGACACACTTAGAAAGTCTCTGGATGAACTTAATTTTGTGTTTCTGGACTCAAATCAATGAAATGACAGTTCTTGTCCCAGGAAGGCCCTCAGGGCCAGATTTGACCTGAGGCTTAGTTCACTACATCAGCAGCACACCACTCCCACTATAAACAGTGTTGGTGGCGTACCGCTTTCCCCCCCTGAGACGCCAGATGGTGGACCAGAATCGCCTCGAAGGCGTGCGGAAGTTGTTCTCCATGGCCTCTCCGAACTCCTCCCATGCCCGAGTTTTTGCCTCAGCAACCACCCGAGCCGCATGTTGCTTGGACTGCCGGTACCCATCAGCTGCTTCCGGGGTCCCACAGGCCAAAAAGGCCCGATAGGACTCCTTCTTCAGCCTGACAGCATCCCTCACCGACGGTGTTCACCATCGGGTTCGAGGGTTGCCGCCGCGACAGGCACCGACAACCTTGCGGCCGCAGCTCTGGTAAGCCGCCTCGACAATAGAGGCAAGAAACATGGTCCACTCAGACTCAATGTCCCCCACCTCCCTCGGAACATGTTCAAAGTTCTCCCGGAGGTGGGAGTTGAAACTCCGTCTCACAGGAGACTCTGCCAGACGTTCCCAGCAAACCCTCACAATACGTTTGGGTCTGCCAGGTCTGACCGGCATCCTCCCCCACCATCGGAGCCAACTCACCACCAGGTAGTGATCAGTTGACAGCTCCGTCCCTCTCTTCACACGAGTGTCCAAGACATGTGGCCGCAGATCAGATGAGACAATGACAAAGTCGATCATCGAACTGCGGCCTAGGGTGTCCTGGTGCCAAGAGCACATATGGTCACCCTTATGCTTGAACAAGGTGTTCGTTATTGACAATCCATGACGAGCACAGAAGTCCAACAACAGAACACCACTCTGGTTCAGATCAGGGGGGCCGTTCCTCCCAACCACACCCCTCCAGGTCTCACTGTCATTGCCCACATGAGCATTGAAGTCCCCCAGCAGAACAAGGGAGTCCCCAGGAGGTGCACTTTCCAGTACCCCCTCCAAGGACTCCAGAAAGGGTGGATAATCTGAACTGCCGTTTGGTGCATAAGCACAAACAACAGTCAGAACCCGTCCCCCCACACGTAGGCGGAGGGAGGCCACCCTCTCATTCACTGGCGTGAACCCCAATACACAGGCACCAAGTTGGGGGGCAATAAGTACGCCCACGCCTGCTCGGCGCCTCTCACCAGGGGCAACTCCAGAGTGGAAGAGTGTCCAGCCCCTCTCAAGGAAACTGGTTCCAGAGCTCGAGCCATGCGTAGAGGTGAGTCCGACTATTTCTAGCCGGAACCTCTCAGCCTCACACACCAGCTCAGGCTCCTTCCCCACCAGTGAGGTGACATTCCACGTCCCAATAGCCAGCTTCTGTAGCCGAGGATCAGACCGCCAGGGTCCCCGCCATCGGCCACCACCCATCCCACATTGCACCCGAACCCTTTGGCCCCTCCCACAGGTGGTGAGCCCATGGGAAGGGGGACCCACGTCTCCTCTTCGGGCTGTACCCAGCCGAGCTCCATGGGTAAAAGCCCGGCCACCAGGCGCTCGCCCGCGTGCCCCACCTCCAGGCCTGGCTCCAGAGTTGGGCCCCGGTGACCCACGTTCGGGCAAGGGAACACTAGGTCCATTTTTTTGTCTCATCATCGGGGTCTTTGGGCTGCACTTTGTCTGGTCCCTCACCTAGGACCTGTCTGCCATGGGTGACCCTACTAGGGGCATAAAGCCCCTGACAGCATAGATCCTAGGATCATTGGGACACTCAAACCCCTCCACCACGGTAAGGTGGCAGCCCAGGGAGGGGCCATATCACCAATAAAAGCGGCGATTACAGTAACTTTATTTCACAGTGATAATCCTGATTAGTGAGTCTAACAGCTTCAGGGTACATATGATGAATACATATGAATACAAATGATGGGACCAACAGTTACATTTTTATAGACACCAGCACATATAGGAATCAGAGGGAATGAAGAAGGAGACAGGGCAACAAAAGCAGCAACAAAAGACCAAATCAACTTTACAATATGCATCTGTAAATAAGAACCATAGTGAAATTAAAAACTAAAGGGACAATGACAAAAACTATGGGAAGAAGAGTGCAAAGGATGATGGATTCACATAATTCAGAGACAATTGGAAGAAATTAGAACAGGTTGGAGGAACAGAAGCGAAAGAATAATAACTAGGCTAAGATTTGGACACACTGGACTTAACAGCACATTATACAGGATTTAGAAACATGATCCAGGTCAATATGAACACTGTAGACAAGAGGAAACAACAGAACATGTCAAAGAAAAATGTTTGTAAGCTCAATCATCAGGTAGATAACAACAAAAAACGTTAAATCATGTCATCTGGACCAGTTTCTTTAAGTGAGAAACGTGAGAGACAGAAGTGAGAAACAAAACATGTAATTTTGGTTTGTCAGAAATATGAATATCACAGAAGACGTATGATAGAGGAATTAGGAAAAATCAAAGAAACATTTAATATAATCATATATTACAAAATGAAACAATAAGTAAAAGTATTAAAAATTATTATACTGTACATTTTTTACAAACATAATAGAACGTGTGAGATCCACACTCCAAGGCAGCAGGTGGCGGTAATGCACGCCTTCCGTCATTTGCCAACCGCCATAAAACTATATGAAGAAGAAGAAGAAGGAGGGCGGAGCTTAATGTTTAAAAGTGGCGGGCGGCAAATGCATAAAATTTCCTTGTACTACAACTAATATTTGACTGAAAGCGATATATTCATAGTAGTATGTGTTGCTGATATCTGTTCTCAAACACAACTACTGCATGTAGTTTTCGGGTTTTGTTAAGCCTAGCTGGAAACTTAATTAAAGGTAGGTTAAAGTCTTGCTATTGATAACTTTAGGCTAAAGTTTAGCTAGGCGAAATGACGCCAACACTAGCTGGTGCAGTCAGATAATCTTATGTAATCGAACTATCTGCCTGCTGCCGTGTGTTTCTTTGTTTTTGTTGGTTTTATATGCTGCCAGATTATAAAAGTTTCGGCTTGTTTTGTTTGACCGGGTCGTATAGTCTGTGTACGTTAACGTTACCGTTTGAAAGATACTTTTTCACCGAAACACGCTTATTATGATTATGCTGCGCACCTCCGCTTGCAGAAGAAATGTTAGCTTTGTCATAAGTAAAAAATATGGTTTATGTTGAAAAACAAAGCTAACATTAGTTTGTTCGTTGGACAACTGAGTCCGCGGGTGGGAACAATGACCGCAGCCATGTTGCCAGATCATCTGTTTTACGATCTTGTAACTCGATTAACCACATTTTTAGTGTAGGGACCATTTGGTCAGCTCTAGTTTTTAGGTTTTTAGCATTTGGACAGTATTAGAACTGGTTTAGTTCAAATACTCAAATCTGCACTTAAATTTAAGCTAATAACGTTAAACTCTTAATTTGGACTAGATTAAAAGCAGAGTTGACAAAATCACAGTTGAGATTTAAAAAACATTTACATGTGCTAAAAACATAGCTTCTGATTCCAGTTCAACATTGTGTTTTTGAATCCACTGTTAAAAAAATCAATTTAAATCAAACTCCTCCAGAATTGTCAAGGGGAGGTGAAGTACCTACAGAGAAGCTGACATTTATAGATTAGAATCTCAAATGTCCCACTTTTAAAAAAACGTACACAATGACACTTTTTGTTTGTCATTTCTTCTTCTGTGGTTATAATTCAGTTTACTTTGTTGGCATTGTGTAAAGTAACAGTTTCCACTTGACGCTATGAATACCACAAAGGTTTTTTGTTTATTTTCTTGTTGATTATTGCGTTTATTTAATCTATATATTTCTGCACAAATGCACATTTCACTCAGATGTTAAGTCACAAACGACTGGGCTAAGTCAATAAATATGTTCTCATTCATCAGTGTTATCTGTAAGTGGCCTACTTATTTTAATAATTCTGCTCAAACGTGGGAAACATTCAAATTTGTCTGCATTATAAGACAGTTAAGAGTTCTTTAATAGAACAGTTTTTTTCTCTAATAAATAATAAAACTTACACTGCAACATGGAAATGCATTATCTTTATTTTTAAGCGTTGATTTTCACAGCACAGTGATATGTCATCTTTTCATTCAAATTATGTTATAAAACACCACTCGATTCCATCAGCTGTGTTATTTTATTTAAACTATCTTTTATTTTTCCACATTTTTTAAGGTTAATAATTGGACTCTTGCATCATGACACACGAGGATGAGAAGGTGATCCCGGTGCGGGTTGCCTTACGATGTCGCCCGCTGGTGCCAAAAGAAATCGATGAAGGATGTCAGTGCTGCCTCACATTTGTTTCTGGGGAGCCTCAAGTAAATATGCTGCTGAAAACAAAACCTTTTTCTGTTGTTTTGCTTCTTAAAAAGTACAAAATAGTTTAAGTGCAAGGTGTTTAGTGGATGAGTTTGAGAAGAAATATAACAGTGAGAGGACTGAAGAGAGGAGACAGGAATATAAGGAGATGGGACGTAGAGCAAAGAGGGAAGCAGCTAAGGCAAAGCAGAGGATGTATGAGTGGATGGGAGACTGGACACTAAAGAGGGTGAGAAGGACTTGTACCGATTGGCAAGACAGAGGAATCAGGCTGGAAAGGATGTGCAGCAGGTTAGGCTTATTAAAGCTAGGAATGGTAATGTTCTAACAAATGAGAAGAGTGTGATGGGAAGCTGGAAGGAGTACTTTGAGGAGCTAATGAATGAAGAGAATGAAAGAGAAAGAAGAGGTCATAAACTGTGAATCAAGAAGTGGGAAAGATCAGTGAGGGTAAAGTCCGGAAAGCTCTGAAAAGAATGAAGAAGGGGAAGGCAGTAGGACCTGATGATATGCCAATGGAGGTTTGGAAATGTCTTGGAGAGATGACAGTGAGGTTTTTGACTCAAATATTCATTGGCATATTTGAGGGTGAGAAAATTCCTGAGGAATGCAGAAGAAGTGTGCTGGTGCCCATTTTTAAGAACAAGGATGATAAACAGAGTTGTACTAGCAACTACAGGGGAATTAAGGTGATGAGCTACACGATGAAGATCTGGGAGAGAGTTGTGGAAGCAAGACTTACCGGTAGATGAGAGGTGACTATCTGTGAGCAGTAGGGGTGCACCGATTGCAGTTTTCTGGCCAATCAAAAATTTCTAAATAAGTCTGACCTGCCGATTCCAATTTTGTTTTATAAGCGACACTGTCAGGTGTTATAAGGTCACAATGCACCTTCAATTTTCCAAAATTATTTTGTAGAAAAACATGCCCTTGAAAAATATCCTAAAACAATACAAACTTGTTTTAACTGACCATGAGGTAGTGCTCTGAAATATAAATAAAGTTCAGACAATTTGTTGTTAAAACTAAAAAAATTGGTTTCTCATGCAAGTATCAGACGATTTCTGATTTCCTAAAATTATACTATAACTATAATGCTATATTATACTATAAGGAAATCGGGGCCGACCCTAGTGAGCAGCTGTATTCGTGTCAAGAAAGAGCACCACAGATGCCATCGTTGCTTTGAGGATGCTGATGGAGAAGAGAGGGTCAGAAAGAACTCCATTGTATCTTTGTGGATTTAGAAAAACATATGACAGAGTTCTGCTGAGGGAGGATGTGTGGTATTGCATAAGGAAATCTGGAGTGGCAGAGAAGTATGTTAGACTGGTTCAGGACATGTATGAGGACAGCAGGACAGTGGTGAGATGGGCTGTAGCAGTGACAAATTCAAGGTGGAGGTGGGAGTGCATCAAGGATCCGCTCTGAGCCCCTTCTTGTTTGTTCTGGTGATGGACCGACTAACAGATGAGGTCAGGCACGAATCCCTGTGGACTATGATGTTTGCAGATGACTTGATCTGTGGTGAGAACAGGGAACAGGTGGAAGAGAACTTGGAGAGGTGGAGGTATGCACTTGAAAGAAGAGGAATGAAAGTCAGCCGTAGTAAGACAGTAAATGTGTGTGAATGAGGGAGGCTGGTGGAACAGTGAGGCTACAAGGAGCAGAGGTCACAAAGGTGCAGGACTTCAAGTACTTGGGGTCCACTGTCCAGTAAAATGGGAGTGTGGTAAAGAGGTGAAGAAGAGAGTCCAGACAGGATGGAGTGGATGGAGAAAAGTTTCAAGAGCGATTTGTGACAAAAGTGTTCAGCAAAGGAAAAGTTTACAAGACAGTGGTGAGACCATCCGAGGTACAGCACAGGTTGAACAACTGGGAGATAAAGTTAGAGAGACCAGACTGAGATGGTTTGGACATGTCAAGAGGAGGGACAGTGGGTATATTGGTAGATGGAAAGACAAAGAGGAGATTTATGGATGCAGTTAGAGAGGACATGGAGGTAGTTGGCGTGAGGACAGAGGATGCAGAGGACAGAGATGGAGGAAGATGACTCGCTGTGGAGACCCTGAAGAGGGAAAAGCTGAAAGAAGAAGTATTTAGTGGATGAGTTTGTGCTTCACAGTATGTGGGACAGATGTGTATTTTGTGTCTTTTCCCAGGTGGTTGTTGGCACAGAAAAGGCCTTCACATATGATTATGTGTTTGATCCAGCCACGGAGCAAGAAGAAGTTTATAATACAGCCGTCTCCCCACTTCTCCGTGGGCTTTTCAAAGGTACATCTGTTTTTATTGCTTTCTGCCATGAAAGGGGGTCAATAATGTGTGTCTGATAGAAAAAGAATCACGAATACTGAGCTACACTTCAGTTTGGGCGTAGCTGGGGGTTGTAATCAGTTGCAGATGTACAACCAATGATTACTTTCTGTAAATTTCAATAAAAACTGTCAACATTGCCTCTTAGCAGCAGCATAATTGGTTATCATTATGTCAATTTAATCGATTCTTTATTGAATCTGATTTTTTTATTTTTTTTTTTCTGCTGGAACTTGTCCTCTGGTAGGCTACAATGCTACGGTTCTTGCGTACGGACAGACCGGATCAGGCAAGACCTACTCCATGGGAGGAACGTACACATCAGCTCAGGAGAACGACTCTTCAGTTGGAGTTATTCCTCGTGTTATCAGAATGATCTTTGAAGAGAGGCAGAAGAGGACGGACTGTGAATTCACTCTCACAGTTTCTTATCTTGAAGTTGGTGGATATTTGGTGTTCACTTTGTGTTGCGTGTCAAATTCTTTAGTCCCCGTCATCTGATAACTAGATTTCTTTATTTGTAGATCTACAATGAGGAAATCCTGGACTTGTTGAATCGTTCTAAAGATAAACCTGCCATCAGCATTCGGGAGGACCCTAAAGAAGGCATTAAGGTGAGTGAGCGTTCTGTTCAGCAGAAAAAAAACCTTTGTCACATTTCACGGTGTTTCCGTTACTGATTGACATTTTAACTGTAAATCTTTTCTTCTCAGATTGTTGGGTTAACTGAGACGCAGGTGCTTTCTGGTCCTGAGATGGTGAGTTGTTTGGAGATCGGAAACTCTGTGCGCACGGTGGGTTCCACGGCCATGAACGCTGCCTCATCCCGCTCTCACGCCATCTTCACCATCACGCTGGAGCAGCGCAGAGAATCGGACAAGTCAGTAAATGGACTGTACTTGTATAGCACCTTTCTATCTTATCAAAACACTCAAAGCACTTTACACCTCGATCTGTGCCTCATTTACCCATTCATACAGCACTCTACTAGATCTCTACAAAGCTAATTGAACAAATCATTCTAAAGAGACTAATCAGTGCTTTTGATCACATTCATACACCGATGGGACACACATCAGAGACTATGATGGGTTCAGTGTCTTGCCCCGGGACACTTTGGCATGTGACTGCTGGATTGTAACCCCCAACTCTTGCATTGGAGGTCGATCGCTCTAACCACTCAGCCACAGCCGCCCCAGTCTGTCTGTGTTTTTAGCGTTTGCCTTCAGAACTCCTTATTGAAAGCATTAAAGCACCTAATTTATAGGGGTACACCGATTTATAGGGCCCGATTTCCTAAATTTTGGGAAATCAGAAATTGATCAATACTTGCACGAGAAACCAATTTTACCGTTGGGTTTTTTTTGTTTGTTTTTGTTTTAACAGCAATTGTCTAAACTTCATTTATATTTCAGAGCACTACCTCATGACCAGTTAGAACAAGTTTGTATTCTTTCTAGAATATTGTTCAAAGGTACGTTTTTCAATAAAATAATATTGGAAAATTGAAGGTGTATTGTGACACCTGACAGTGTCGCTTATAAAACAAAATCAGTATTGGCCAAAATCGGAATCGGCAGGTCAGTCTTTGTAGAAATCTGTGATCGGCAAGAAAACTGCAATCGGTGCACCCCTACATCTTTGTGTGATATTTTCCCTGTTCCTGGGTTATGGTGTGTAATGTGTTCAGGCCTTGAACATCAAATCTTTTTATGACGAGTTGAATATCTGCGTCTGTTGCAGAGCGGATTCAATTGTTTCAAAGCTGCACCTCGTGGATCTGGCTGGTTCAGAGAGACAAAAGAAAACTAAAGCAGAGGGAGATCGTTTGAAAGAAGGTAACCACATTTAGTATAAAAGATTAAAAGTTTAATTTTGAACAGTTATGGCATTGAGTTTTTAAGAAATTGAATGTATAACAAAATCTACTGTCTGTTTTTAACAATATTTATGAGCTCTCATATGTGCCACAATGGATGTCAGCCCGTCTTCATATTTTAAGGGTTCCTACTCAGTCTTGAAAGGCTTAGTTTTAGTATTTTCCAGATGTGGATAAGTAACGGAAAAAAGCAAACGGTGAATGGAGAAACGCGTTTCCAGATGTGCTGATGCATGCTCAATAATCCAGGAAGATAAATACAAAGTAGTAAGAGTCAGAGTTTCCAGACTTCTTTTTACTGTTCTTAATTTCCCAACAGATCAAATTTTACATATATTACAAACAAAAGATAAATGTCAAGTCTGTTCGGCCTTCTGGGAACCAAGTGCTGCATTTAGGCAAACCCCGGTTAATTAGCATCCCACACAGTATGTGCCAATATACCTGCACATTATTATCCAGAAGTTACAAATACAGGATATGGTTTTTTCTGACTTAAGGTCCAGCCGTAAAGCATGCAAAGGTGTTTGTAGTTTTTACTATTTTTTTTTTTATTAATTAAAGCTCCACATTATAAACAACAAAGTCCATGCTCAATAATCCAGGTATACAATGCAACATTTTTCAGTCAGGTCATCTGGACAGTTTCTTTTTTTGTGCTGAAACGTTTCACCTTCGGTCCGGAAGGCTTCATCAGTCAAGGAAACGCTACAAAACTGATTCTTCCCCCAACAGCTTACTCCAAAGTGGAACAAACCAGTTTGACAAGACTGTCAACAAGGAAGAGGGCCGGCAATGGAGGAGGGGGCGTACCAAAGAGACCATCTTATCACAGGCAGAACTGGTTTGTTCCACTTTGGAGTAAGCTGTTGGGGGAATAATCAGTTTTGTTGTGTTTCCTTGACTGATGAAGCCTTCTGGATCGAAGGCGAAACGTTTCAGCACAAAAAAAGAAACTGTCCAGATGACCTGACTGAAAAATGTTGGATCCACATTATAAACATTCACCGGAGATTTATAAATATTTCAGTGGAGGAAAAGAATTAAAAAAATCCAGATATTTTAAAAACGTGTCTGGGAAAAGTATGGAATTTTATAATTAAAACGTGTAGGAACCCTGTATTTTTTTTATTTAAAACTTTATTTGTTAAAGTAATAAAAAATAAAAAGAAAACATAGTTGGAATTTCTTATACAGCTTTATAACTTTAGAAAATTCCCATGTTTTATTGTCAACTATTAACAGCACTTATTTATTTTCACAAGTGAGGCCTGAACTTTTGACAGCTGCTGAATGAAATATCTTTGTGTACAAAAAATTTATTTTTAACGTGACCACGTATCTTATGATGCTGTTGTTTATCTGCAGGCATCAGCATCAATCGGGGTCTTTTATCTCTGGGTAATGTGATCAGCGCTTTGGGAGACGAAAGCAAGAAACACACCTTTGTTCCTTACAGAGACTCAAAGCTCACCCGCCTGCTTCAAGGTACACGTGGATTTTAGTGTTGGCAACTCAAACGTTTCAGTGCTAAACAGGAACCTGACTTTGTCTAGCAGCAGTTCTGTTTCGACCAATGAAAATGTTACAAGCACAGAATTCTGACTTGGTTTTAGTTTTTGTCTGCTTAATGTAAAACAGATTAAAAAATGCAGTAATTTATGGACTATTGAGCGCACCTGAATATAAGACACACCCACTAAATTTAAGTGGGGGGGGGAGGGGGCGTACATATAGGCTGCACTTGTCTATAAGTTGCAAGTGCCCACATTGTAACATGGGAGATTTACACAAAAAAAAATTTTTTACTTTTAATTACCATATTTTCTGCCATACACATCGCTCCACCCTATACGTTGCATTAATCCAAATATGTAATGAAGTGGGAAAATCCATACATATGTCACTTCGCCATATACGTCGCATCTATTATGCTATTATGCATCACCACTGACGCGTCACTTTTGTTACGTGTCACCTCTGACAACCCGGAAACGTGGGCCGGTGTTGTGCCAAAAATCAGTTGGCTGCCAAATGGCGGGAGTGTGCACGGGACGACTTTAACAAGAATTTAACAAGATTAACACATAAAAACAATTGTTTGCTCAGAATTATAGAAAAGATGTATCTCAGTCTAATAACTTTTCCTTGATAAATGCAATTTGACGTTCAAAACAGCTGCATTTCAAAACCCGATTCGCAGAAACGTGCACGTGCAGAGGGACGAGTCGCTGTGCGTTTCTTTGAAATTTTAACAAGATAAACCCCTTAAAACAATTGTTTGCTTGACTTTATTTTTTTTTTAAGGTGTGTCTCAGTGTAACGTTTGCTTAATAAAAGGACTTTTAACGGTCAAATCAGCTGTATTTCAGAAGTATTCGTTGCTTTAGTGCTACCAAGAGCACGCAGACGGAGGAAAAAAATTGGAGGAACACTTTGTTTCATCGAAATTTAACAAGAAAAGCACCTAAAGCAATTATTTGTTTGCTCGACTTATAAAGATGTCTCAGTTGAACTTTTACTTAATAAATGCACTTCAATGGTGAAATTAGCTGCATTTCACCATGACGGTGCAGAAAAACGAAGCTGATTTGACGGTTGTTCCAAGCAGCAAGCAGAACGAAGGTGGCAGACTGTGGCAAGTCGATTGTGTCTTTAAAAGCTGGTGAAGTTCTATTTCGTATAGGCTTCGCCCTTTAAGGCTCTCGCTTAGTGGGTTTATCCCGATGTGCAAAGCATCGCACTGAAAAATTTAGTCCACGCTCACCTGCTGTGTGGGCCCCACCCGGTCCGTATAAATTACGTTAAGAGCGGGAAATCGGCTCCCATTTTTTTCTTCAGCGAGCTAATAGCACTGTCAGAAGAACGAAGAAGGAAAGTTGTGCAGATGACCAACCTTTGTTAAGAATGCTTGGCCCGGCAGTCGACCTCCGGTCGTCCGGTGAGTTCTCCTCCCCGTGGAGAAGCTGACGAGCAGTCTTGTTTCAAGGTAAGCGCCGAGGAATATTTCTCAGTGACAGGTCGCTACTCTGGACAACGCCATCTTGTAATTTTCCTCTTATCGCCGACCCTCGGAGCGAATCGGATGGTTCCTCCGGGACAGGCGGCGCTCAGCTGCAGCCCCCCGCTGCTCATTCCCTCCTGGAGAGCGTCGTGTCAGTGGAGGGGGGCTGAGTGAATGCTCATCCCATCCCACCTCGTTTCTCATCGGCGATCACACCGCTCATGGCCGACGGCGCCCTCAGGGGTTGCCCGGCGTAACCCAGGAGGCAGCTGACATGAAGGGACCCTTTTTTACATCCCACGCCTTTCCCGCCAGTTTGGATGATCCGGCGGGAAGGTTGTTTCTACTAGGTTCCATTCTGGCTCATTGTCTTGATCCATCTGGCCTCGTTTTCCCAACAGGATGTCCTACGGGCGAGGCCACAGACAGTTTTTTCCTGGTAGATTGGGGGAGCCGGTCTCCACAGTCCGCACCCATCTCCAGAGCAGGGGTTCACTGAGCGGAAAGTCCCTCAGTGCCCCCTGGAGTCAAGCCTGACGGAGGCTTCATTGGAGCAAGATGTCGAGGTGGACCAGCGTCCCGTGCCTCCGGTTAGCGTAACCGAGACGGTGACGCCGCTCTCCAACTGAGCTCACCAGCATGTGTTCCACACGGCTGCAGCGAACAACACGTTACACTGTTGGCGTACACGTTCAGAGGCGGGAAGAGACGGTGGGCCCCTCTGACCTTCGGCTCGCTTCGCTCTCGTAGCGGCTGCTTGCTAACGACGCTGTCGGCCCCTGCAGTACGCTCTGTCTACAGGGCAGCTGACGTCATCCCCAACCGGTGCGCCTCTTTTGCTGTCTGCCGCCCCGCGTCGCAGCCGGAGAACGAGGTCCCAGAGGCTCTCCTGGCTCGTCACTCCACCTTCCTCTCAGGAGAGCTGCAGGAGCTTGTTGGAGGTCCTCTTTTCATCAGCGAGAGATCATTTCAAGATGCTCCACGGCTGCACAACGCCTCCCCAGCTCTGCTATGCCAGCCCCTCCCGTCAGACGTCCCCGGCATCCGGAAGTTCACTTTTTTCCCGGACTTCGCCAACAGGGGGCCCCTCCAGAACAACAAACAGAGCTCAAGGGAGGATAACCAGGTGTCAGTTTGCTGGAGGTGTGTTGATGACACTATGTGAAATAAACGTCATTTTATGATGAAGTGTCCTTTAGCTAGGCTGTCAGCATGGATTATCTGACAAGCGGCCCCATCACACACACTCATCACGAATGAGCCTTTTTAAGGTTGTTTTCATTCACTGTCAGCGGTGCCAATATGCGCTCTGTGTCATGAAAGCGCGCACGCAGCTCTCAGCGCCTGCCGTTCACGTCAACGTTAACGTGAGACCGCGATACGAGCCCAGTAACGTATCTCGCTCTCGGCAGGAGCGACACACGTTTTTCATCGCAGTGATGTCAAACGCGCGCTCCCGCGGCGTCAGCAGTTTCACAAGCCTCACAGCGGCTCTGCTCCTTCATCCTCGTAGAAGGTTTTCTTAATTAATACTGCAGCTCGTGGAATCACTCAAAAGTTCACGTGATTCGCAGCCAAGAATGAACGTGTTTCTGCAGACCGAGCCAGTGGTAACCTCGCCCCACCGATGCCGCGCGCTGCTTCCTGACCGCACCAGTGCCAACGCGCGCTCCCGCGGCAATCCTGGCTTAAGGCGTCGCATGAATGAGGGCGCGCACACACGACTCTTCAGGGCACGTCGGCTCATACGCGCACCCGCTCCCCGAACGTTTACACGGATCAGCTGCACACAATGTGAGCACAACACAGGTGAGCTGCGTCCCGCAGCAAACGCACAACGTTTGCATGCTCGGGGGCGCGCGTGTTTTCTTTCTCACTCAGCGCGCACCAGCTCACATCAGCATGCATGTGAGTTTCATAGCATAAATGCGTTCCCGCTTTATAACTTATAAATGGGTGGCAATGAGCGCGCGCTCCAGACGGATGGGCAATGAGCGCGCGCTCCAGACGGATGGTACAGCTCAAACCCCGGTGTGGAGGAACTCTGTGACGTTTTCTGTCATTTATGAACAGAGCTCGTCCCCTCTCACAGAAGTTCAGGAAATTCTGACTAAAATGTAATTTCTAGAGTCTCAGAAGGAGAGGAAAACGCAAGGTCCCTCTCTCATCACTTCCTGGTCCCAACGAACTGGAAAGATGAGATTTATTCTAGATTTGTCAATTTTTTGAAATGTGTGAAACAACACTCCATTATGCGCCCGAGCTGCTCTAATTCTGCTTTATCTGGACACCTGCTGCTGCTGAGCAGTTTGTACAGACAGGTGGCAGCAGTGCAACTCACGTGAACCGGTTGAGTGATATCAGCTGTTTTTCCGTCAGCAGACCTACGTCACACATGTCAGTTTTTCACAGAGGCACACACATTTAACAAGCTGTGGGGGCGCTGTGGTTCTCCACACAGCAGCTCATTTAAATGTTTTTAGAGTGTTGCACGGGTTCTTTGAATGTGACTCAACACTGACCTTGAACTGCAGAATCATCAGGGTTTTTGATTCACACAGACAGCAGTGACTGTTGCATACATACTGGCAGGAGATGTATGCGCTCAACCCGTGTGCTGCATTGTGACAGATGCTGTGTGGGGCACACCCAATCTGCTCTCCATTCGAGTAGGGTACATCTCATGTATTCCAAACAAGGGGCGGATGTGATGTCCAAAGACGGTCCTTTGCGGCACGAGGACTTGGGACCTTCCACCCAGAGCTATGGCTCAGACACGGCAGAAATCCTGCCAGCGCTTGTGGACGTGTAGCAACACGAGAGAACGCTCAATGTCAACTATATTATCGTGGAGCCACGGGACGATCCACCGTTGGGTGGACGTGCCTGCTCACAGCCTGTGGTCGTAATGCTTTTTTCACCTTCCTCTCTCCCTCTGGTATCACGGTTTTCTGAACCGAGCTCAGGAGGAGGGACTGACAGCTCCTCTGTCCCAAGTGCGTGAACGCATCATGGTTCCCAGGCCTACGTCACTTGTTATCAGGGTTATCAGGGCACTCGTGGAACCTGCCGTGGAGGGAGGACGCTCTCCTCCAGGCGGGAGGAACGATCAGGAGTTAATCAGAATAGGCCAGCACCTGTGGTCTGGCCGCTGTGCAGATCTTTTTGAGAGGATGGACCTCTCTCAAGATGTTGTGCATACGATTCAGGATTCACGTGCTGCAACCACCACAGCACTGTTCACATGAAGTGGTCAGTTTTTTCAGCACTGCTGTACAGAGAAAGGCGTAGAGGTCACTTCATGTCCACTGTACGACATGCTGTCCTTTCTGCAGCAGTCGATGGACAGGAATCTGGTGTCCAGCACGATTATCGTATGCTGCAGCCATGTTTTTCTTCTTGTCTCAAAGTTGTCGTAGACAGAACAACCTTTAATCATTCTCTGACGGAACATTTAAACTCAGATTGAAATAGCAGCTGTGGG